GAAATCTGCTGTTCTAGAGATGCGATAGCTTATCGATCCCTATCCACTATCCACCAGATATAGTACACTATGATTGTGAACACCTAATGTAACTCTGGGTTGTACGCAGGCTCCTGTACTCGGACCGCCTGACAGAGGAGTGCAAGCTGTCGGGTGTGTTTTAAACGGAACCGTCAGAGCCCGAATAAATCCAGATACCGACCGAGCACAAAGAACCGACGCCTAAGGCACCAGGCCCCTGGAATGGCGTCACCCAAATCCAGCTAAAAACTAAAGATTATAAAGCATACATTGCAAAGTGTTGCTACTGTCTCAAACCAGATTTTGCGAAAGCACTGGTTGTGATAGCTCAGGGGAGTATCGGAAGAAATCGAGTCCAAACAAGCGATGGGTAACTACAAATAGTAGGGTTTACGTTGGCCATCAAATCTTGATGAAATGACGAACAGGTCGTATCCAGCGATCTCATCGGATGAAACTCCTGCATAATTCAAAAGCTCCATCAAGTTCAATAAGCCGATAAATCAGCATAGTTCGTCCGACCTTGCTACTTGCATCACTCGGAAGGCTAAATGGTGCATCAACAAAAAGAGTGTTATAACGTTTGATGGAAAAACGGGTTAAACCGGTGTAAAAGTCGCATGCCATTTTGTTAGCGATAAAAGCTTTATAGTGAGCGCCTCAACCATATTGATTTCGTCTAAGGTAGCGTCTGCCTTCTTCAAGGCCTCCCGGGCTTGGGCCATTGTCTCAATGACCGCAAACTTTGCGTGCACGAGCTTGGCACCCCCGAGTCGTCTCCATCGCTAAAAGCGCTTTCATGATGGCTACGCGCTCAGTCTCCAGGTCGAGGCGTCTTTAAGGATCGTTAGTCAAGCTTTGCTAGTGATGCGCTTCGTCGGAGTGTTCGAAACAAAGACCCTACGTATGCCATGGCTGGGCGCGCGGCAAGTGATAGTGAAGAGTAGATCACGCAAGCAAACGATAGCCGATGTGCGCTCAGACACCAAGGCACGGGGTGTGGCAAAACGCTGGCTCGTCGTATGACTTGCGCATTCGAAACAAACGCCGCGCCCGATCTGCACCAAACGACTCGAAGGAACAACAGCGGAAAAAAGCCCCGTTAAGCATGAGTGACAGAGAACGCCAACTAAAGTACATTCGTGAGGCTCAATATTTTTGTGGAAGTCGTCAAATTGGGTGAGGTGAGTCCTCTGGCCCCAACAGTCATTTTCCACTTTGGTTGTTCAGGAGCACTGAAAATGGTTCTGGATTCGTTCTATTATGCCGCTCGGCATTTTCCAAACTAACTGTTCATTTTGCAAACTAACTGTTTTTTCTGTGACCAATTGTTGTCTACTCACGCAGTGCGCATTACATAGCTTGGCTAAACGACATGCCGTTAAGGCGTGGCAAGTCTTGCGTGCGAAGTGAGTCTGTGACGCTCCCGGGTTGATCATTTGCTCTAATAGGCTGTGGCATGCAAAAAAAATATTTTTCACGCGCACGCTCTTGGAAAACAGTGTCTTTGTCGCTTCTGCATAGGCAGATGCAGCAACGGTAAAAAAACACGTCTCAGGCGCCTTAGAGGCAAAAACGAGAAGCAACATACAGGCCCTAAGTCTTGGACGTGTTCGAATCACTGACAACAAACAAACTATTGAAGGGAGGGGTGGGCCCTTGGTTAAGGTCTTCCACTTCAATTCGTGCTTGAACGGATAGCGGGTTAAAATCCAGCTATGCGCATGCGAATTCAATTGGCCGACCTGCGCGATGTACCAAGTCTTAGAAACCGCCATGCCATAACCCGATTGAAATGGGCCAAGAGGGTGCCTTTCTCGCTTACACTCTAAGGAAAACCTCCCACATCAGATCGCCAAAAAACACGCACCCTCGCCACAGAGGCCCGCCTCTTAACGCTAGCTACTATGTAAATAAAAACAGGAAACCTGTAGGAAATAATATCTCAATAGGCTCATTCCAACAACAACGACTAGTGAACTTTCGCGCTACCGCAACAAGATAATTTGTGTGTGTAACCCAATCAGTGTTCATGGGAGATGTGTGTATACACCCTGGCGTTGTGTGTGGCAACCTTCGCTAAATGTGTATAAGCGAGCACCCGTCGTTTGTGTGTGGCAATACCAACTCCGCCGGGAGCACTGGCGAGCGCTGATCTGTGGCCGCCAGGCTCCGAGACAGTAATGCTAAAGAAGGCGGGCTGGGCCATCATAGGGCCGGTGCGGACGCTGACCGTGTTGAGCGGGAACGGACTGTTGTAGTAGCCATAGACCTCGTCGACGCTGTCGAGACACACGTTCTCGATCACCTTGATGGCGCCTATCATCTGGCACATGAGAACATGGCGCTGGCGTAAGCGGTAGAATACCGAAGTCACCCTCATCTGCGGGCTAGAAGAGAAGGCGGACGCTTGTGTTGTGAGGCAATAGCGCACGCTGCATGACGATCGCGAAGCTCACAAGCGACGCGACATGGCCGTCAAGGCGGCACATGTGCTCCGCGCCGGCGTTGGACGAGGCGTACTCTAGATGCCGGTTGCGCAGTGTCATAGGCAACGCGTCCGTGTCGCCTCGGAACGCGACGAATCGCAACCCTGGCGGCTCCACCGGGGTTAACATTTACATCTTAGGGCCAACGTTGTTGGCCCAAAAATGTTGACCACCAAAGCTACTCGCGGTAGGTGTGGCATGGCGAGTAGTAGTCCAGTATGCTACCTGTCGTTGCGCAGATGTGGATGTCTTCGGGGACAATGCCGGCGCGCTCGACCAAGCAACTTTTGGTCGTCGCCTGCGTCTGGAACTTTTGCCACGTCACCTCGGCGTGCTTGTGCAAGTGGCGGCGCAGCGCTATGGGGAGCGTAAAGAGGTCTTTCGTCGAGGACGGCGTGAGGCTGGCTCACCATGTTGGTTTGAGACCTTGGAGGGGACTTGGGAAATGGCAAGTCGACTCTTAAAGGCACAGCAACCTCGAAACTTTACCCGCAACCGCTCTTCCACATTGATAGCATACGCCACGCCCGGGACTTGCGACTCCAAAAGCGTCACGAAGGGCCTGAGGACATTGGCGCAGAGATGCTTGGACGGCAGCTCCGTTGACGGCGCCTTGCATTCCATGCAAAAAGACGTGTCGCAGTAGACCAACCTTAGCAGCACCGACTTGGTTAAAGGCGAGGCCAAGCTGGGCGCCGACATGTTCTGCAAGAAGATATTTCGACATGCTCCTCTCAGACCGCCCGAATTTCGAGCAGCACCGACTTGGTTGAAGGCGAGGCCAAGCTGGGCGCCGACATGTTCTGCAACAAGATATTTCGACATGCTCCTCTCAGACCGCCCGAATTTCGGTTGCAATTGGCTGCTGTTCCAGTATTCAAGCCAATGACAGACCATGGATAGACCTGTGCACGCGGATTGGCCATTGTCGCTTCCTTCTTGAACAGCAGCAAATTAAACGCAACGGAGAAACAAACGTGAGGTCATCTTCTTTTCCTGGGAAGTCGATCGCTCCACGCTGCTGTTGCTCACGAGATGCAGCTGCTTTGACACGTGCGCGTCGCGCGCCTTGGAGGATACAGCATTTAGCAGTTGCAAGTGTCTTCGCACTGGTACAATTGTTATGGTGCATGTGTACGCTTCCAGTACACACAACCGACGCAATCGACATATAGATAGCTCCATGGGAGCTACCCTTCTACCCTCCTTCTTGGAGTCGCTCTAGATGTGTACAAAAGTGTCATAGACTATAAGTCCAGCGTCACGACGACGCAATTTGCGTGTTATTGTCAATGCGGTACACAGTGAACCGAGCACAACTAAACACACGCGTGTCAACTGTCGAGCGCTGGTTCACAATCCGCCAAAACCGCGCTGGCATGGAGCGCGAGGGCCAGCTGCAGCATCAGCTTGTACCCGTACAGTAACAACGACCTGTGACGCAGCAAGACGCCGCTCAACATGTTACTTGCCCATCCAGCGCAAGCACTAGCGCGTCGATACGCAATCAGCACCCGTGCGCCAACGCTCACGAGCGAGAGCACTCCAAGACGCACAAATTAGCAGACGTTCCGCGACATCTTCACACTAGCGTCCATACGACCAAGAACGGCGTGAGTTGGTGCACGCACGTACCAAGACGCAACGCACGTTTTGAGGATGATCACGGCGTCTGAAGTCGCCTTCGCCGTGCGCCATCGAAACTCCATGTGCCGCTCTATCGCCCGGTGACTCTGCCGTTAACATAAACGAAGAAGAGTACTACTGTCTGCAAGATGTCACGCCGACTGAGCACGGTAGCGTTAACGTCCGAGTCGTCAGCGTCATGGGAGATGAAAGTTTTCAACATGCAGCTAGGAAACAAAGTACAAGCAAACAAATCTTGTTTCTGTCATTTTTTCGAGATCAAATCGACCAGGTCGAGACGAGATCCGAGAGCATGTCGTCGTCGCCAAGCTTATCAAACAAAGCGCGCAAGCTCTTCGTACGCGGCAATGGCGGTTGCAGTGGGTGACAAACAAAGTGCTGCCGCCGAGGTCGCGCTGCCGGTCGACCTCGTCGCGAAAACGGACCGGTCGGGAGCTGGCCTGTGTATCCAACCACAGTTTGGACGCGCGTGGTCACATACTCCATAATGGAGGAGCCGGGACAAACCCAGTTGGCTACCGTGTCGATGGCCATCGCCGCGAGGAACTTGCCGGCGAACGATAGCTCGGAGAACTATCTGTTCTCCATCACCGACGAGCTCACGGGCTTGCCGATGCACAATCACGTGTACCCAATTCGGGTGGCAAGCTGGCACCCGAATCCGGTACATGTGATTTTGCATCGGCAAGCCCGTGAGCTCGTCGATTATCGAGAACAGAAAGTTCCCGGAACCATCGTTGGCACGAGAACGACCGTGTGTGGCGCGCGCGGGTCGCTGCTCGCTGATGGACCTATGCAGCAATTCAATAAAACTGCCAAGCGACAGAGCTACGTCGGTAGAAGGGAGGGTTCCGTGTTGCAGACGCGGCGGTCGTCAACGGCGCACGGGACGAGCCGACGCCGGCTTTGGGCTGGAAATGGCCGGCATTTGCAAATGGCAGAATGAAAAGTGAACGGCGACTGACGACGAGCATACATTTTCAGAGGTCAGATCTATTCTCTTTCACAAGTTTGATGTTCACTTGGTAGAGGGATACCTCTTGAGATATGAACGTCCCATTTCCG